AATCCTCCCGATAGATAAGATAGATTAGATAGATAGATAGATAGATAGATAGATAGATAGATAGAGATAGATAGATAGATAGATAGATAGATAGATAGATAGATAGGGTAGATAGGTAGATAGATGGATCAGGAGGATTGCTGGGAGTTGCAGTCTAAGAATAGGTAGAGAAGGAAGAACAGGGAGAAAGGGGAAGGGAAAGAAAGGGAGGGAAGGATGGGAAGAGGACAAGAAGGAAGGAGAAAAGGGAAAAAAAAAAGGAAGGAAGGCGAGAAAGAAAGAAGGAGAAAAAGAGGGAGGGAAAGTTGGCCACAGAGGGCTTGTAAGGGAGATGGGCGATCTGACAAATACCAGATGCTGTAGGCTTATTGCAGAGGAATGAACTGGCAAAACTACCTATGGATATTCCTTGTTTTAAAAAATCCTATGAAATTCATGGGTTGCCATAAGTCAACAGACAACTTGAAAACATGCACATGCATGGACACACACACAAAAGCTAGCTGATTTTGAGTGTAGAAATAAATGCCAAAGGCTTTTCTATCTACATTTATGATCTATTTTAAATAGGAACATGTTTGTAAAACTTCCATTTTAGAAAGTACAACTCTTCAAATATGTTGGTTCACAATTTCTTTCTGCTTTGGTTTTGGTAATGCTATCCTCAGCATTTTTTTCAGACAATTCCCAGTAGTACCACAAAGTAAACCTAAAGCCTTGGGAAGACATTGCACACAATCTGGAGATATTTATAGTATCATGATTCAACAATAAACCTGCATTTTTACTAAAAATATTCTTGTGAGAATTTTATTTCATTTTTATTTTGAAGTTAATGGCTATATGTGGCCATAATGATTTATATTTAATTCAAAACCTGATGCCCTCCAGATGTATCCATCAACATAACAGAAATTGACTTTGAATACATGTTGAGGGACCCAGGTAGTAGAAGGTTGATGTAGAAAGTTATGGAAGTTGGATGGGGAGAAAATCTTCACAAAAATGTTGTCAGCTTTTTCTTTTTCCTTCCTTGCTTCTATTTTGTGAGTCCTTTGAGCAAACTTTGGGACAAGGGGGTTAGAACATTAAATGTATAAATTCATGGATAGATTATATAAACTTTAGTAAACACTACAAAGAATTGTATGTCTTGGGTTGTTATAGGTTTTTTCGGGCTATATGGCTATGTTCTAGAGGCATTTTCTCCTGACGTTTCGCATGTATCTATGGCAAGCATCCTCAGAGGTTCTGAGGTCTGTTGTGACTAGGAAAAAGGGTTTATACATCTGTGGACTACACAGGGAACAGCTGTGGACAAGTCTACATAGGGACCACCAAACAGCGCCCAAACACGAATCAAGGAACATGAAAGGCACTGCAGACTACTTCAACCAGAGAAATCAGCCATAGCAGAGCACCTGATGAACCAGCCTGGACACAGCATATTATTTGAGAACACAGAAATGCTACCACTCCAACAACCACCATGTCAGACTACACAGAGAAGCCATTGAAATCCACAAGCATGTGGACAATTTCAACAGAAAGGAGGAAACCATGAAAATGAACAAAATCTGGCTACCAGTATTAAAAAAACTCTAAAATTACAACAGCACAACAACAGAGAGGAAACAAACAAGGACATCTAATCACCTCTCAACAAAAGTTTGCTCTAGGCACTGTCAGTCCATTATATGCTAATCAAGGTGGTCAGTTGAAACATTCACACCTAGCTCCAGCAGACAAGAGTCCTTTGTCTCACCCCGGTCACTTCCACAGATATATAAACCCTTTTTCCTAGTTCCAACAGACCTCACTACCTCTGAGGATGCTTGCCATAGATGCAGGCGAAACGTCAGGAGAGAATGCCTCTAGACCATGGTCATATAGCCCAAAAAAACCTACAACAACCCAGTAATTCTAGCCATGAAAGCCTTCGACAATAAATTGTATATCTTTCATTTCATTGACATTTGGATCAAGTTTTTATGTATCTTTTCTATGGAAGTATATACCCACCGAGTATTCTGTTTCATGCATTTGACCTTTATCTGGTGTTTCTTAAGAAATCAGATGCAGTGGATATTTTTTTCCACTGTGCAAAGAACAAGTGTTATCTTTGTGTCCTTTTATTATTGTTTTCACTTAGTTTTCTGGAAAAGTATTATAGAACATGAGCGCATTGGCTCATAGACGAGCACCAGTTTGCACACTACAACTCTGAGTAGCACTGCTATAGTATAGTAGCATTGCTGTAGTATATAAAAACTGCAATTAATCAGTTGGGAGATTGGATTGCAATTGGATAATACAGAATCTTTGCTACATGATTCTTTGTTTGTTACACTAGACTACAATTGTTAGCACTCTGTGTCTTTATGCATTTGGAGGATTTCCTGCTCATTTTCATGCTGGGGTTTTTGAGGAGCTTCAGGGGCTTCAAAAGTAGATTTTGTTACAGTAAGCCATCGCAGGATCAAGTGTGTGTGTTAAAGAAAAACCTTATGATGATAATTATTATGTGCAGCTGGTAATGTACGTTTGGGTCACACCCGGTGAGGTATAACTGTATGGATTTTAGAATACAGTTTGGAGAAGCAATGTGGTGTTCTGAAGGAGGTGCATTATGCTGTAATGCTGCTATGCTTTTTGCTATGGTGGAATAGCTATTTACTCAAGGTTTATGTTTTTCTTTCTTATTTGAATGAAGATGAAGAAGCCTTATTCTGTGTTACTTACAAGGACTATGTACGTTTGTTGAACTGTTTGATTTTGTATGCAACACTGCAAGTTTATGTTTTGCCTCTGCTGATAAGAGTAAAGTTTTTCTGTTCCTTTTTCCTCTTGCCTCTGTGTCTATTGCATTGGACCTGGCTAAAATCCGCTTCTGCGCAACAGATTCTACCCTCTCAGGCCTAGAGTATACCCATGCCTGTCTCATTTTCCACCAAATCCTCTGTTCCTTTGTAAGCTTGCAACATTAGAAAAATCATGATAGCTTCAGGATATTTTCAGTTCCTAGCAAATTGATTTAAATAATCTTCAGTAGCAACACTTCCAAGTCAAAGTAATTAATATTTCATTATATTCTGTGATACTCAAAAGCCTTTATATGGAGTACTGGGGTCATTTGTGAGTAGCTATTGTAGGAGGATATAGACAAATTGGAGTGGGTTCAGGGAAGGGCAACAAAGATGATAAGAGATATGGAGGTCCAAATCTATGAGGAAAGGTCAAGGGAGTTTGACATGTTTAGCACGGTGAAGAGAAGACTAAGGAGTGACATGGCTGCACTCTTTCCATACCTAAAGGACTATAAAAAATGAAGAGGGCATAGGTTTGTTCTCAGCTGCTCAAAAGGGTCATACCAGATCTAATGTATTTTCGAAAGCTTTCATGGCCGGAATCACTGGGTTGTTGAAGGCTTTTTGGGCTGTATGGCCATGTGCTAAAAGCATTCTCTACTGACGTTTTGCCTGCATCTATGGCAGGCATCCTCAGAAGTTGTGAGACCTCATAAACTCTGAGGATGCCTGCCATAGATGCAGACAAAATGTCAGGAGAGAATGCTTCTAGCACATGGCCATACAGCCCAAAAAACCTACAACAACCCAGATCTAATGACTTTAAATTACAGGAGAGTAGATACCCGTTGAACATTAGAAGGGATTTCTTGGCAGTAAGAACAGTTTTGACATTAGAACTGTTTTCCTAGAGCAGGGGTCCACAAACTTTTTAAACAAAGGGTCAGGTCACAGTCCCTCAAACTGTTGGCGGGCCGGATTATAATTAGAAAAAAGAATGAATGAATTCCTATGCACACTGCAAATACCTTATTTGTAGTGCAAAAACATTTAAAAACAATACAATAACTAAAATTAAGAATTATTTTAACAAATATAAATTTATTAGTATTTCAATGGAAAGTGTGGGCCTGCTTTTGGCTGATGAGATAGGATTGTTGTTGTAATTGTGTGCTTTCAAGTAGTTTCATACTTAGGTTGACCCAGAGCGAGGGCCAGGTAAATGACCTTGGAGGGCTGCATCTGGCCCCCGGGCCTTATTTCGAGGACCCCTGTCCTAGAGCCATGGTAAGATGTTTTTAGAAGGAAGCTGGACAGCTACTTTCTGGGAAAGATAGCTAAAGATCCTGCACTAAGTGGGGGATTCGATTCAGCCTATGGGGCTCCTTGCAACTTCATAATTTTATTATTTTAAGTTGCTATAGGTCTACTGTCCTTACATATTTTCTGTTTTCCTAATTATTTCTTAAATGCTAAAATATGGATTATGGATATGAATAAAATAAAATAAAATAAAATAAAACGAAAAAGTGGGTCATCTGAGAAATGTTGCTATGTAATCTGCTAAAACACAAAGCTGTTCTACATCCAATGAAAGTGTGTATGTATATATAAATGTAGTGATGAAACCATGTTAATATGCTGTTTGAACAAGTATGCACACTGATGGAACAGAGAATTCGCCTCCATTCATGGTCACAAGAACTTTTGCAGTGTTTTTCCTATAACATCTGCTTTTGAATGACTCTTTTTTCCTGTCTGGCTAACAGCTCACAGCTTTGTGATGTGCTCTCTTAAGAGAATACAGATGCAATGGGGGAAAAAGGCTGAAATTAACGTCATTCAGTTGCCATTTTTACTATGGTATATTCCAGAGAAATAGCCTGCAGTGTTGATGCATGATGTTGTTCTTCGTAGTTCTGTTGAACCATAATTTGTTCACGTAAGGATTTTGCAGAGCCGTGGTAAACAAAATAGATATATTGTTGAACTATTTTAATTATCATATCAAACCAGACTATAGGTTTTTAGAGCTTAAAGGCAGAATTACTTTTATAAAGTTGGACTTAATTTCCATGCTTAAAAGCAAGCAAGCTATCCACATTGTTCAAGCCACTAAACTCAAGGAATCTTGTTTGATTTTTGCAGATGTTTCATGTAAACCTGGGTGCCTTTCTTCCTTTGTTTTCATAGTGATCCAGCTGCTAAAGCTCTGTGGGAGTCCTTAATGAATCTCAAGCAGAAAGAAGCTGTGATGGAAGTGAGGAGACATCTAGTGGAAGCGGCAAGCAGAGAAAGTTTGCCGATCAAGATGAGCATGGGTAAGCTTTGAAAAGCAGCTGCATGCAGCTAATCACAAGTTGTGATGTGGAATATATCAACAGCAGCTAGTCCTCATCTATGTCTGACCATGTAATATTGAGTCACAGAGCCAGCACTCATATTTTTGAAGCAACTTTGCTGTTAATGAACGTGAGGTTGTTACCACTTGGACTGGACCATGTCTCTGGAGCATGGTAGTTCAACATTTCATAGTGATTTCAAACAATTTCACTCTTGTAGTCTGCCCTGCAGGCTTATAACGAAAAATATGTGTATAATGATTCCTCTTGTCTTTGGTATTTTAAATCATGGGCTTAGGAAGATATGTGGTGCAGAGCTTTGTTCTGAGTGTGGCGATATTTTTATATGAGCATATTGAATGTTACTTTGCTGTGTAGGAACCAGATATTCAAGTCAAAAATAAGCAGCTTATTTAATAATAATAATAATAATAATAATAATAATAAATAAGCTATTGAAGGTTTTTTAGTAAATTCATTGCTAATGCAAGATTTGAATGTTAACAACCTACGATTTACCATTCTGTTTACCATTCTCGTCCCACTGAGCACAGTAAATCACCCTTACTGGAATGGGGAAAGGGTTGAGATGCAGAGACTTACTTACCATCATGTTGAACTGATGGTAGTGTTAGACAAACTGTACACATAAGTAACATTAGTGCCAGTGGCATCCATCAGTTTATTTATTTTATTTACTGTATTTGTATACCGCCTTTCTCAGCCAATTGGCGACCCAAGGTGGTTTCCAACAAATCAGTATACATAAAACATAATATATATAAAAACATTAAACAGTATAAGACATAACAAAAGCAATAAAAACATCATCATCAGCATCTGATTATTCTCAAGCATTGTCCAATTCCATTGTCAGGTCATTCGATTTCCTATTTTAGCTACTCTGTATTTGTAAACACTTGCTCGAATAGCCACATTTTAACTTACCTCCAAAACGTCAAGAGGGAGGGAGCAGATCGAATCTCCCTAGGGAGGGTGTTCCATAGCCGAGGGGCCACCACTGAGAAGGCCCTGTCTCTCGTCCCTGCCAAATGTGCTTGTGACAAAGGCGGGACCGAGAGCAGGGCCTCCCCAGATGATCTGAAAGTCCTCAGAGATTCGTAAGGGGAGATACGTTCGGACAGGTAAGTTGGGCCAGAACCGTTTAGGGCTTTATAGGCCAAAGCCAGCACTTTGAATTGGGCCCAGTTCACTATTTTTTCAGTGATAATCTCTCCTGGGAAAAGTATGCTATTACTTAAATGCATTCGAGACTGCAGTGGGGAAGGGCAAGATGGTTGCAATAGCCCTGCCAAGCATCTCTCAGCAAATCTGGTCTGTTCAGGTCAAAGATGTGGAAGCTGTATAGTATGAATTGCCACTGCTTAAAAACCCCATTCACCCAAACCTTATACTGAATATGCACTCCACAAATATGTTTTCAAGAACCTTATTGAGGTTTGCACAAAATAATCACAATATAATATAATATAATATATTGTATATACATATAATATAATATTGATAATATTATAATGTAATACAATACAAGACTACTAATTATAATATGATATTATAATTATAGATTTTATATTAAATGTAATATTACTACTAATAATACAGTATAATTTTATAGTACAATGTAATATATAATATTAATATTGTGCTATATTAATAATATAATATATTGTATTTAGTTTTTACTTGTAAGCCGCTCTGAGTCCCATTCGGGGTGAGAAGGACAGCATATAAATGTCTTAAATAAATAAATACCGAATAGAATTAGGTTAAATTTATTATCTGGAAGTACTTGTCCCTGTAGTTAGTCAATAATTTCTCAGTTTTTTCTGAGAAATCTGGTAACAAATTTGCCAAGGGGCAAGGGCATGTTTAATGACCCGTATTAGCTCCAGTGATGCTTGGAGGTATCTTATGTGGCCTGTTTTGCACTTCCTGAAAGTGACCTCTTATGCTTCTTTCCTTGGTTGTCAGAAAATCATTATTAATCTCCAAGTAGTCAGGAAAGATATAGGTTTATCAAGAGCCACTTATGATTTCAAGCATCTTTTTAGCGTCTAGCCATTTGAAACCTGACTTTGTATAAAAAGCTAGGTACTTGAATTAATGTGGGAGTTGACTGTGTCTAATTTTATCTCAAAGGGTGCTTGAGAACTATTTTTCCACAAATGTATGTTTTAGCAGTAGTGACTTAACTCCAGTGGATTTCATACATTCCTTCATTTGACTTTTGGCACTTCCAAACAACTTTCCCCCCTATTTGAATTCTTCTGTGTTCAAGACTGAGAAGAACATCAGTCATTTTGTTGTAAAGACCCAACCGTGTTAACAGTTTTAAATCATTTTAACCCCTCTTGTGAAAACTGGCCCTAGGCTAGTTCTGAACTAAGCTGGCTTTGTTAGCTGTGAAAGTGACGAGGTGTAGAGATAACTGTGTAGAGGCAACGTTAAAGTACACTGTTCACTGGGTTCCTATATTTTAAATTGGATTTTAGCATATATGTTTTAAAGAAAGTGTAGGAATATTGTGATAAGTACAAGTACACCAATGCCAATTTGGGTCATGGTATAAAATCATTTAGGGCACCATTCAACTTGGGGCAAAATAACTCATGTAGGCATACTCTGTAGAATTGATTTTCAGCTGCTGGATTCTATGCTCTGTAAAATCACCTGTCCATCACCACCTTCAGCCAAACAGAAAGAGGTCCCTGGTCAAAGTGGGTCTCCAACATTAGTACCAAAAGGGTTGCAAATCAGTTTTTGGTCAACTTTAGATTCGGTTTGGTTATTTGGGGTGCTAATTAAAAAAATGCATTGGATAGATCACATCAACTCTAGTTTCTGATATAGAACATATGCCATCCAGTAGTCGCTATCTGGTCATCTACAGAAAACCATATTTAATAATCTAGAGCTGATGTGGTGGTAGTAATATTTCATGGATAGTCAGCCTGTCCCCTCCTCGGCACAATAGGAGGGTTTTGCAAGACCAGTCACTCTCGTTGTCCTGCGATTTCGAGGAAATTGTGTAGTAATGTTGAGGCCGTGGACCATATTTTCACTATTTGGGACTACTGGAGGTCTATGTACCACTGGTTGAGAACCACTGCTCTAGATCCTCCAGTATGATTTTATTATTAGTTTCCAGTAGAGAGTCATCTGGATGACCTAGACATTCCTAGAGAAATGTTATCTAAAATAATAATGAACAGGCTTTTTATTTGTGGGTTTTTTTCTCACTTTTGTAGGGCTCCTATTCCCCTAATTCTAGCCAATGTGAAGGGCTGCCTATATTGTTTCACTCTGTGAAATCTGGTTTATACTTCATAAAATGAGTAGTAATCTCTTACACTGTTTTTTTTTTAAAGGATCTATATCTTAAAGTAGTTATCAGGAGCCAAAAGGCAGTCAGATTTACTCTTAAGTGCAACCCTCTTATTTTCTCCCTGGGTTTCATCAGTTATGGTATTTTAACACACTTGAGAATATTCAGTCCTAAAAGAAAGTTCTATTCTGCATGGCTTCCTGGAACAAAGAAGTGTTGTGCCTTCAAGAAGAAGTGTTGCTGCTTCTCTTCCCAGCCCTCACTTCCTTCTCAGACTCATTGATGATCAGATGTGTATCTCAGAATGCTTCTTAAAAGTGATGCTTCATGATGCTTTTGTTTAATCCTTTGCTATTAGCATATTATTTGGCAGCGAAATGCACTTTGGTACAAATGTCGTTCTGTGGCTTCAGAACGACAACTGCCTTGGCTGGCAGTTGTAACAGAGGGCAGTAAATCTAAACTCAGACTGAATCCCTTTATTATGTCCCTTTATTGGCATGTTGAATGATGAAAGCTGAAACACCAGGAGGATAACAGAAACAAAGTCCTCTCTTCTGCATCTCTAACCCTCCATTAACGGAAGAAAGCCTCCTCAGTTCTTTCTTGGTAAACTATGCAGATCGCAACCTGAAAGACTGAAGCATCTCATTAAAGAGCACAAGGCAGACCTAGCCTATACCGACAATGTATAGATACAGCAGGCTTTGTGAAAGAGGCTTGGATAAGGCGGCTGCAAATTCATTAAGTAGTGTATCACAATCTGGCAAAAGAAATAAACAAATAAAAGAAAACAGCAAATTTCTTGGGTAAGGTATGTCTAAACTTTGGGAAAATCCAAGAAACAAGGAAAAGGAAGAAATATGAACAGCTTTGGCCTTATCAAATGTAGTGTTTGAGTTCAAACACTTTTGTAGTGTTTGAAATGAACTTTAAACATGTGTAAGTTACATAAATTTTAATAGTGCTTTGTTTTACTTCACATAGAATCATAGAACCATAGAGTTGGAAGAGACCTCATGGGTCATCCAGTCCAACCCCCTCCAAGAAGCAGGAAAATTGTATTCAGAGCACCCCCAATAGATGGCCATCCACCCTCTGTTTAAAAGCATCCAAAGAAGTAGCCGCCACCACACATATTTTAACTATGTTGTATCCCACCTTGAGCTACAAGGAGAGGTGGATATTATTATTATTATTATTAATTATTCCACATACACAGTTTATAGTTTATTCAAGTTTTACTGTATGTGCTGTAAGTATAGTTATCAATAATACTATGCTCATCTTAAAGTATGGAAGATATACAACCTTGATTTGAACTTTAACAAAGAAGTATTGAGAATTCCCACTTGGCCACTAAAATTCACTGGGGCCCCTTCTATGCTGCCATATAAAACCCAGATTATCTGCTTTGAACTGGATTATATGGCAGTGTAGACTCATATAATTCAGTTCAAAGCAAATAATGTGGATTGTCTGCTTTGATAATCTTGATTATATGGCAATGTAGAAGGGGCCTAATTGACTCAGGGTGGAATATTACAAAGATGAGCAGCATTTTCTCAAGGGTGGTTTGTCAGAAGCTAGTTGCTGGTATGAGGAAGGGCTGAACTCTGCAATAGACAAAGCC